ATCGTAAAAGTGAATTTTTAAAATAAAATAAAAAAAACACCCCCACTGTGATATTGGTTAAAGATTTTCGATCTTTTTTTTTTTTTTTTTTTAAAAAAAGGTATCACTGGGGTGTGATTTGTTTGGCGTTTTCCCGTCCTTTCTACAGTGCCGTACCCTACGGTGCCCGGTACTGTTGGTTTGTCCACGGTACTGTACCGTGGTCGTGTTGGTGGTCTCAGTGGGCGGCCAGGCGGCTGCCGTGGCTCGGAGAGGTAACTGCCGAAACAGCGAAGGATGGGGAAAGGAAGCGAAGAGTTGGTGAGAAAGTTTACTCTGTTCAGTGTAGATCTGTTGCCTCTCGGATAAGGCGTTATTATTACTACCATTATTATCACTATTATTCCCTTCCAAATAATTACTGGTATGTTAGGCAAAATATCACTGCCGATGCCCTCCGAGGGACGGGGTCCATTTGGGTATAATGGTTTCTTGAGCTTCTCGAATTGGTATTAGTATGCGTTCCCGGGTCTACTGCATGGAGCGCTTTAATTCAGTGCGTGGTTCGCAAAGATAGATATTGGAACTGGCTAACAAGGGCGACATGTCGACAAGGGGGTTTTTTTTTTAACGATTGTTTTTCTTTTTCACAGTATCTCGACCTCCAATATATGCAGTCCAGTACACGATGTTTTGCATGACCTGAAAGTATGGCGGATCGGATAATTGTGACTCTTGTACAGCCATACTAAGCTCTGGTGGTACCATTCTGCGCTGACTATCGTACCCTCTGTCTGCCCGCCCGCCTGCCTGTCTGTCCCAGAGTAGAACCACCTACCTAAAGCTATCGTAGGGGTTTGAGAAGGGGAAAGGAAAAGAAAAAAATAAGAGAGAGAGAGAGCAGGATACTGGGGTTCAGACTTCCCTTGCTCCCTAGCTCGCCAGGTCAATTGACAACCCAATAAATCGTGATCGAGTGCGTTGATAAGACGGGGCCAGACTCTTCTAAAAATCCAACCCAATCCAATCCAACCCAGCTGGTAGGGTACTTATCAATGGGAAAACGACGTGACGTGACATATCACTCTCCACGACACCCATCCATCCCTTTCTC